CTTCCCCGCGGCCCCCCCGGCCCGAGTGCCGCCTTCCCAAAGTGCTGGGGTGCTGCCAAGGGCGCCCGTCCCAGTGCCACCCAGTGTCGCTTCCCCAGTGTCCCCCAGTGTCCCTTCCCCGCGTCTGCCAGTGCCCTGGCTCGAATGCCCCCACTGCGCCCTTCCCAGTGTCCCCCAGTGTCCCCCAGTGCCACCCAGTGTCCCTTCCCCGGCGTCTGCCAGTGCCCTGGATCGAATGTCCCCACTGCGGCCTTCCCAGTGTCCCCCAGTGCCACCCAGTGTCCCTCCCCCCGCGTCTGCCAGTGCCCTGGATCAAATGTCCCCACTGTGCCTCGCTCAGTGAACCCCAGTGCCACCCAGTGTCGCTTCCCCAGTGTCCCCCAGTGCCACCCAGTGTCCCTTCCCCCGTGCCTGCCAGTGCCCTGGCTCGAATGTCCCCACTGTGCCCTGCTCAGTGAACCCCAGTGCCACCCAGTGTCGCTTCCCCAGTGTCGCCTGGCGCCACCTAGTACTCCTGCCCCTGTACCCCCAGGGTCCCTTCCCCAGTGTCCTCAGTGCCACCCAGTGTCCTCGTGCAAGTGTCCACACTTTGCTTTCCTCGAGGTCCCCATGTCCCTACCCAGTGTCCTGCTCCCTCCCAGCCATCCTCTCTTTCCGCAGCTGCTCGAAATCCCAGGGTCCCCACTGTGTCCCCAGCACCCTGGGGCCTCCCCGCACATGTTGGATGACCCCCATGTCCCAAACCCCGTTAATACCCAGTTAAAGCCCCGCTAATACCAGGTACCGCAGCTGGCACTCGGCCGCCTTTGCACCAAAACCCAAACCGCGCAGTCACCGTTTGTGACGATTCCTCCAAAAATGAGCCCAAGTCCCCCCAGGCAAACGTCACCACAGCAGCACCACACAGGCGGGAGCAACGGGATTTATGTCGTGTACACAGAACTGGGCCCTGTGGGTCCCGCAGGAGCAGAACGGGGGGTGCGGGACCCCGGGTCCCCGGTGCCGCTCAGATGATGCCAGTGGCGGGGACGGCAGGGGCCATGCAGAGCGTCTCGGCGCTCTCCCAGCCGCAGGACAGCGGCGTGCACACGTTCTCCCGCTCCTCTTCCGCTCGGGACGGCTTGCCGTGGAAGAGCTGGACGGCTTCCCTAGAAGTGCAGAACACGGTACGGGATGAGTCTCCTGCGGAGCGCTGCAGGATGCAGCTCGGAGGCTCTCGCGCCACGACAGCCCCAGGCACAGGGCCGGAGCTGAGCTGCCCCCAGCATCTCCTGGGGAAAACTGCCCAAAAATCTTCCGGGATTTAGACACTGTGAGGCTTTATCCTGAATCTCCAGGTGCCAGAGACTCAGCCCAGACCGTCTTCCTGGATGCGGGAGCCTGGTTTGGGGCTCAGTTGACACCTCAATCCCTGCTCCCAGCTCAGCCGGAGGGCAGGGCTGTCTCTTACCAGGCCACGCGGGACATGGCATAGCTGATCCGTGGCTGGGGACACCCTCCGAGCGGGGACGCCGCCGTGATAGTGTAGGCACCCATGTCCTCGAAAATGAGCCAGTCCCCGACCTGCAGCTCCGGAAGCTCCAAGCCGTCCGCGATCCGGTCCTCGGCGGGTCCTGGGGGACCCCGGAGGCTGCTGCTGTACGATGGGTGGTCAGGACAAGGCTTCTGCAGGGAAGAGATGGAGCCGTGTTGCTTCATACCAGGCAAGAACCTGGCCCCGAATCTGGAGGGGCTACGGATTGTCTTGGCAGCGTGACCTGAATGGGAGGCGGAAACACAGGCCGTGGAATGGGACAGGTTGGTTTGGGTCACGCTAATGCCAGGTATTGGCTTGGGCTGGTCGACAAGCAGCAGATCCAGAAAGGACCAGAGCCCATGGTCTGAAATGCCTGACCTCAAAAGCCAACAGGCACGTGGAGCCACTGGCTACAGTCGGAGGTTTCATTTGAGATGTTCCCCTTGTTGATGGCTAACAACGCTCCCATGCAGCTTCCCAGCCTCTGCTCCCCTGTCACGGACCTCAGTGTTGGCCACCATGCCGGGAGAGCAGGGGGGCCGTGGGGTCTGGCTGGGCGCTTCCCAAGCTGGGCCAGCTCCTCACCTTGTGCAGGAGAGGCCTGGGGCATGGGCTGTCAAAGAGGACACAGCTAAAGGAGCCGTAGATGCCGTCGCTGAGGTGATACACGATGCTCTTCTTGCTGCCAGACTCTTCCTCTGTGGGGAGCAAGGAGAAGGCTCAGCGGGGCAAGGACACATGGGAAGGCCCGTCCTACTCTCCCACCTACCCTCTGAGCCAGGCTGGCCCGGTGGAAGCTCTTCCTTGGCAGTGACGCTGGCTGCAAAGGTGAAGGCCGAGCTGACGTAGTAGCGCCCTGGTCTCGCCACAACCTCCACCCCGCAGCCCTCCGGGAAATACAAGTCCAGGGCAGAGTTTATGGCAGCGGCGGTCTGCGTAGGGAGGACACGTTCCCTTTCACTTAGCCCAGCCAGGCCCCATGATGACACCAGGGCCCCTCTGGCCTCGCTCTCTGCATGCCAAGTGCCAGCATCGGGAGGCAAATACCTCTTCGAACCGCGCTCTGGTGTCCTCGGGACCAGGGAATCCCCCGCCGATGTCCAGGACGTGCATCCTGTAGCCCAGCTCTGTGCCCATCTCAAACACGAGCTGGGCTTCGCCTACAGCCTGAGTGAAGGCCTGGGGGTCCAGGCAGTGGCTCCCGAGGTGGAAGCTGAAGGCAGAGGCCCTGTTCAGCACGGCTCGCCATCCTCAGGGACAGCAGCGAGGGGACTGGCGCCGGGGGATACTCACACATCCGCCTTCTAGCAAGGCAGCTCTGTGCTTCCCTCCTGCCAGACTGACCCCAGGGGCCTGCAAGCCAAACCTGTCCCAAATTGGCCCCAGTGAGGGTGGATCCCCCCAGGTCCCTGCCTCCACCTAGTCCCTGCAGCCCTGTGAGACTCCCCGAACCCCGACCGGCTCCAGCGTGACAGAGCTCCCCGCGGAGCTGCACGACAGGGGACAAACAGACAAGTGCTGTACCTGATGCCGACGACCTCCACAGCCTGCTCCTTTGCCATCTCTAGCAGGCGCTGGCAGGACATGAGGGTGGCCCCAAACGTCACACTCGGATGGGGAGAGGGGTTGAAGTCAGCAGCGATACCCAGCAGCATCCTGCAGAGTGAAGAGACGCTACATTGGGGCATCTTGGCACCTTCCTTGAACCTCAGGTACCTTCCCAGCTCCCACCTCAACACCTAGCTCCAATGGTGCTGCCAGGGCTGGCATCAACACGTACCTGGCATGAGGGTGGCTCCGCGCCACCTTGTTTAGCTCCACCTCGTTGTCGAAGGTCATCAGCTGCACGCCGTGGCTGGCAGCGTACTTGATGTGGGCGACCTGCTTGCAGGGGTTGCTGTAGAAGATCTTCTCAGCTGGAACACCGATGCTTCGAACCTGGGCGATCTCTGCCTGCAGAGAAACAGCATGTGCTTGCGGACAGCCTGCTGGGCCCAGTGCTGCTCCGCATCCCGCTCCAGGGCTGTGGACTTTGCCGTGGCTGTGGTGGGCGGCAGGAAGATGTTTGCAAGCGGCACAAGACCAAGAGGAGAGGAAACCGGTGGGACAAGTTAGCAGGGGTGGTTTGGTGCCTGTCGCCCCTGCGAGGGGCAGCGAAAGGCATAAGGCTGCAATGGTGGCCTCCTCCGTAAGGACCCCTCGCTCTCCCCCTGCACTTTCTCCCCTTGGTAGCACCTCCTATTTAATTACACACAAGTAAGTGGTTTAACTTGGGATTCTCCCTGGGAACGTGGCTGTGAGCTAATGACAAGCAATGAGCTTTGTGCTAAGCTGTAAAGCCACCAAGAGGTGACAGCTGCGGGAAAAGAGGGATGTGCCCTGCCACAAGCCAGGCTGGCCAGCCAGGGCACAGGTCACACGGAGAGAAGCCACGGTCCAAGGGAACAAACATCCAACGGGTGGACAATTGGGATGGGCATTTCCAGGCTGTGCCGGGAGGGGGAGACTCCCGCCACCCTAAACCTCAGCTGGGAAGAGGGAGAGGACACTGGGAAACACGGGTGGGTTTGGCGCAAGGACGCGGAGCCGGAGCTGCCCTCCTGCAGCGCTACCTTGTTGGCGCAGGCGAAGCCGGCCCCCAGCTCGGCCAGCAGCCCTAGCACTCCCCTGCTGCTGTTGCACTTCACGGGGAAGAAGGTCGTCACGCGGGGCAGGGCCTGGTGGAAGCGCAGGTGTCTCCTCACCACGTCGCCCAGGTCGGCCATGAAGAAGGCTCCCTGCTCGCCCTAGGACAAGGACGGTCACCCCTCTGTGAGCAGCTGCGGGGAGGGGGTGACGGCTGCAGGCCCCCGGGGACTGCGCAGCCCCTACCGTGTGGCACGGCTCCACGAGCAGGTTCTCCAGGAGGTCTCTGGGGGTGAAGCCCTCCTCCACCAGCACAAAGTCGGACTCATCCAAGTAACCATTCATGGCCAAAATGTAGTGCCGCTAGTTTAAAACCTCCTCAAGCAGGGTGTAGTTCCTAGGCATGCAACACCCTGGGGACAGAAAGGCAGTATTAGAAGCAGGGCATGAGGAGACACTCAGGGAGCAGCGGGGCCCTTGTGTGTCCCCTCCAAATCAGCTCCACAGCAAAGGGCCCCTTCCTGCGGGGGGCCCTTCCAGTGCCTCATCCCCAGGGCAGGAAGGTGCCTCGCAGCACCCCGGAGCTCGCCCTTGGTCCCCAGGAGCCCCATCTCCAGCAGCAGTTTGGGCACCAACACAGTCAACAGGAAAGACAACTCCATGGTGAAGCCAGTGGTCTGCACACAGCAGAACACAGCCCTCCACGCTGCAGCCCGCGTGCAGCATGTCGAGCGGGGTGAAGCACCCCCGTGGGTTCCAAATGGATAAGGGTGCCCCGTCCCACTCTCCCAGGCACCCAAGTCCCCACTAAGGGAGGCATCGCTACCGGGCCAGCCTGGAGCCGCCCGGATCAGGCTGTGGTTCCGGCTCAGGCAGGTGCCGTGACTGTGCACAGCAAAGGGACAATTAAGGCTATGCAGATATTTCCTGGCTCACACACTTAGCAGGGTAGTTTGGACAAGCTCTTCGCTTGGATGTGGCCCATCCTGTAATGCAGGGAGCTGAAGGCCCAGCATGAGCTGTCAGGAAACAACTGCACCCCAATAACCCAACTTCGGGTAGGGACGAGGAGAAAACCAGAGCGCCCGTGTGTCACCGTGCATCGAGCAAGCACCAAGAGCAACCCCTAGAGCTGGGGAATGGGAGAACACCGGGCTGCGGAGCTCGCAGGGGTTTATCCATGGGAAAGGAGTGCAATTCCTCCGGGCCTTCCCAAAGACTCCGGTGAGCAGCAGCCAGCGCTGCCTGGGCACAGCAACAAGGAGCTGCTAAATGGGTTATTGCCTCGTGCCCAAGCTGCTCCCCGGCGGCAGAGCCTCCCTGGCGGGTGTCTCGGTGCTGCGCTGGGGCACGCGGAGCTGCCGCGGGCCCCGAGGGACACCCCTGGGGAGAGGTGGCGCGAGGGCTCAGCGGGGGACAGGCGGGTGGCTGGAGCCCTCCGTGGCGCCCCGAAGCCCGGCACACGCCGACATCCCCCTGCCCCTCCTCGCTGCTTCCCCGGCATCTCCCACGCCCGGCGCAGGGCCCCCGGCGCCGTTACCTTAAGGAGCATTTAAGCAGATCGTGCCCCGGGGTCTCCCAAGAGGGAACTGGCCTCAGCGGCGGCTCTTCCCCATGCCTGGAGCTCCTGGACCAGCTCACCCTGTCAGAGGGGGGGCTCGGATCCCCTTATATCCCCCTGCTCCGCCTCACAACCATGGCCATGGCAACGGAGCCGAGCCAGCCCATTGGCTGCGCGGTGCCGAGCATCCTTCCTCTCCTCCTTCCTCCTCTCCCCGTGCCAGGAAAGGAGACATCGCCCTGGGCACTTCCATCCAGGGCTGCGGCTGCCTCGGGCCTGGCGTGAGGCTGCGCGGGCGTCACGCGTGCAGGATCCTCTGAGAGGGGCTGCACCAAAAAGAGCTTCCCAAGCACCGCTTCCAGGGAAAAGGAGGACCCTGGGGCCTTCCGAGGATTGTGCAGCCTGGCAGGGGCTCCGTGCGCACACAGCCATGGGGTTCCTGCGGGCTTCCGTGCGGCTTTCCCGAACCTCCATGGAAAGGTGGCCTCCGGGTCCCTGAGGGATTTCCTGCAGCCTCTCGAGGCCTCCCTGGGAAAGCGGCTCAGGGGCGCTGCAGGAATTCCTGTTGCCTTGCGGGATAGCTGTGCACCGGGGGGGGCCTCCTGACTTTTGTGTGGCCTCCACGGGCCTCCATGCCCATGCGGCACTGGGGGCACTGCGGGCTTTCACGGGGTCTCCCCGGGCCTCCATGGAGCCTCCCCGGGCCTCCGTGTGCACAAAGAAACGGAGGACGTGCAGACTTTCATGCGGCCTCCCTGGGCCTCCCTGGGCCACCTGGCACACAGACCCTGAGGTCATTTGTGCGGCCAGCCGCCATCTCCATGATCACAAGGTGATCATTGCTGCGGCCTCCACAGACCTCCGTGCACACGTGGCCCCTGGGGTCATTTGTGTGGCTACTTCAGGCCTCCGTGTCCACGTGGCCTTGGGGGCCCTGCCTGCATTAATGTGGCCTTCCTGGGCATCCATGTGCACATGGCCACTGAGGACATGTGGGCTTTCAAGTGGCCGCCTCGGGCCTCCGTGCGCAGCTGGCCCTGGGGAGGCTGCGGGCTCCTTCCCTGACACCCTTCACATGCCCGCTGCAAATGGCATGCCTCACAGGAGTCTTCTGCATGGGTACAGAGCCTGTTTGGCTATGCCAAGAGCCGCAGACCCCACCGGGACCTGTACGGCCTCTGCAGGGACACTCACTGAGCCTGTAGAGCCCGTGTGGGCACCCAGAGCCCATGTGGGCTCACAGGAAGCCTTCAGAAGTCCTTGTGGGGCCTGTAGTGCCCGCTCAGGCCTGTACGAGCCCTGCGGAGGCCCTCATGGGGCCTGGAGAGCCCATCTGGGCCTGTGCAGAGTCCATTCAGGTCCACACAGGGCCCATAGAGCCTGCTAGGGTACATATTGGCTCCCCAGAGGCCATCACGGGGACTGTAGAGCCTGCCAGGGCCGGTATGGTCTCCACGGATGCCCTCATGGGTCCGTAAAGCCTGAACAGAGCCCGCGGACAATTGACCACAGGGCACCTCCAGACTTTAATGGAGCCCTCAGAGGGACTCCTGGGACCTACAGAGCCCTCCTGGATCCACACGGATCCCATCAAGATCTGCCTGGAGTCTGCAGAGCCTTTTAAGACCCATACAATACCTGCCGAGGTCTGCACAGGCCCCATAGGGCCCCCATGAAGGTCTGCATGGGGCATATAAAGACCACCCAGGTCCAGTGGAGGCCCTCGCAGGGCCTTTAGAGCATGCCCAGTCCAGTACAGAGCTTTTGAAGGTCCACGTGAGGTCTGTAGAGCCTGCCAGGGCTCATATAGGCTATGTGGAAGCTCTCATGGAGTCCATAGAGCCCACTGGGCCCATACAGAGCCCATGCAGGTCCCCACAAAGCTTGCTGAGCCAAGTGAGGCCTGGACAGGCTCTGTGGAGGAGCATATGGGACCCACAGAGCGGACCTGGACCTGGAGCCTGCGAGGGTCCAACCAGGGCCCGCAGAGATCACTCTGGACTTTGTGGAGCCCACAGAGGTTCTCACAGGGCCCATAGAGCCCATCTGTGACTGACCGGAGCCTGCAGAGGGCAGCACAGGGCCCCAAGACCCAGTCTGGGGCTTTACAGAGCCAGCGAAGGGCCACACAAGGCCTGTAGGGCCCATCTGGGCTCATAGGAAGCCTTCAGAAGTCCTTGTGGGGCCTGTAGCGCCTGCTCAGGCCTGTATGGGCCCCATGGAGGCCATCATGGGGCCTGGAAATCCCGTTGGGGCCAGTACAGAGGCCATGAGGGTCCAGATGGAGCCTGTAGAGCCCCCAGAGGCCCTCACGGGGCCTGTACGGCCCGTCTGAGTCCATATGGAGCCCATGGAGGTCCACACAGGGCCCGCAGAGCCAGCCAGGGCACGTATGGGCTCTGTGGAAGCCCTCACAGCGCCCATAGAGCCCACTCGGGTCTCCGTGGAGCCTGTCGAAGGCTGCCTAGGGCCCGTGGAGACCACCCGAGCACTTGCAGAGTGCACGGAGGTCCACACGAGGCCCCTGGGGCCTGTCCGCGACCAACCCTGGTTTTGCAGAATGGAAGGGTCAGTCTCTCGGCCCAAAACAGGTCACTGATAAAGAGCAGTGAAATAACAGCCCTACTTCATGGTGCGAGGATTTACTGCACTTGGAACGAACCACCTCTCAGCTCGGGGCGGCTGGATTTATGAGGCCGTTAGCATAAAAAGCCAAGTGCTAGCTAGGATGCACCCTCATCGTAGGAGAGAATTAAGGAGAGCAGCAGGCGGCTCCGCAAACGCAGCCGCCTCGGCGGGGACCACAGGACAACATCTGCGGCGGCGCGGACGCTCGGGGGAACACTGGGAAGACGGCAAAGCTGTGCTCGTGCGCGCAGCCTCGCTCGGCGATGAGCACGTGCTCCGCGTCCCAGCACGAGAGGCCTCCCAAAAGCCGCTCCAGGAGCAGGTGGCAAACGCCCGGCTCAGCCAGGCCTGGGATCAGGAGGTTAAACAGAGCCTGGAGGTCCCGGCCCCCAAACTGAAGGCGTCTGCCTGTCAGGGAAATGACATATGCTAAGGTGGCTGCTTTCTAGGCCTTCCCTGCAAACCCTACCTGGGAGATTTAGCTACCTTGAGCAGTCTCGCTGCTTTCCTTTCTTTACACTCGGGACTGACACCTTGGGAGCAGCTACTGCTGGCCCAGAGCCACATTCTGCTGTGCTGCTTTTAGTGATAACATGTTTCTGCCACTGCTTCCCCAGCCGCCAACTGCCTTTCAGGTTGAGGTTCCAGTGACACCGCATCCTGCACCGTTTCCTACCCACCACCCTTCTAATCCAGGCTGGCTTGAATATATAAAGATCTCAAAATGTTTCACAAGTGACCACCTAAGGATATAAGAGAGCTCCGAGATCTCCCTGTCCCCATTTCGCAGGCAAGGCAAAATGAGGAGCTGCCAGGTTAAAAACTGCATGGAGAATAAAGGAAGTCATGGGTAAAACAAAAAGCAAGACCCCAAAATACTCATTTATGGCCCCAGTCCTTACCTACAGGGTTATGCTTCCTATTTTGCCACATGCAAGGCTTCAGGTTTTGCTCCCATTCTGCTCTCGCTCCGCAGCATTCATAGCTGCAAAGCAACTGGTGGGAGGCACACTCTACTGAATCAAAAAGCTGCTGTGTTATTTTAAGAGAGGAGATACTTCAGTCCAGCTGTAAATTCTATTAAAGCACATTCACAGCTGCAAATCTTATAAAAGAAACAAAAAAAAAAAGTCCAAGCACTTTAAATATTTTTTTAAAAAGCACTGAAAAAGTGTAACATGAATATGCCAAGAAGGCTCACATCAAATGGCTTTGAGCAG